CGAGTCGTTCTCCTGTCAGGATTGGGCGCCCTGGCAGTATCCTAGTCCATCCTCTCCGGAGGTTACGAAGTGGTCGATGGCCCACTTCCCGTAAAACCTAGCAATGGGAGACAACAGGTTACGGGTGATATTCTCAAAGCTCGATTGGCGTAGAGCACGAGTGCCACGCATTGTCTCTGACGGTGGGAGGACACCTCCGGGTGTTCAATGGTTTGCTACTGCCCGCCTCAAGCCAGGCAGTCCCTGGTCAAATTGGTGCAAACCCGACAAAAACCCACCTGCGTCTGGCCGTGGTCGCAGGTGCGTATCCAATTACGGTCGCAAAACATATGATAACTGTTCCAGAACCTCAAAGGCTGCGTGTGACGGCCGTCAAGCAGATCCCAATCTGTCTCTGCAATCACATTCCCGAGCTGGATCTGCTCTCCAATGCCTTGTGGGTCAGGCTATTGAGTCAAAGGCTCCGGGCGGAGTCCCTCAAGCAAACCTCCAAACCACCCACTGCCTTGTGGGTCAGGCAATTGAGCCAAAGGCTCCGGGTGGAGTCCCTCAAGCAAACCTCCAAACCACCCACTGCCTTGTGGGTCAGGCTATTGAGCCAAAGGCTCCGGGTGGAGTCCCTCAAGCAAACCTCCGAAGCACAACGACCACCTCGTGTGCGATTGCCCACCAATGCAATCGTATGCCTGCACGCAAAACACTCAGCATCGGGTGCTGGAACGTGCGCACACTACTGGACCGGAACTCGAGCGAGCGCCCCGAACGACGTACTGCACTGGTCGCAATGGAGCTGGCGCGCTACCACATCGATATTGCGGCGCTCAGTGAAACTCGGCTCGCTGAACAAGGTAAGTTACATGAAGCAGGTGCTGGCTACACATTCTACTGGGTGGGGAACGCCGCCTCAGCACCACGTGAACATGGGGTCGGATTTGCAATATCCGACCGCCTGAATGGCCAGCTGGTGAGTGAACCAACGGGCATCAGCGCGCGACTGATGACTGTTCGCCTACGACTCGGAAGAGGTAAGTTTGCTACTTTCATAAGCACGTACGGTCTTACCATGTGTTATCCTGATGACACGCGTGATCAGTTCTACACTGAGCTATCCTCCGTGATACGGTCTGTGCCAAGGAGCGACCGACTATTTCTGCTGGGTGATTTCAACGCGCGCGTTGGGCGTGATGCATCAGCGTGGACAGATGTTATCGGTGCGCATGGCATTGGTTCAGCGAATGCGAACGGTGACAGGCTGCTCTCACTGTGTGCCACTCACGGTCTGACGATCACGAACACTCGGTTTGCACTGAGTACGAGTGACATAGCAACTTGGACGCATCCACGGAGTGGTCACGCTCACCTGCTCGACTATGTCATCGTACGTCAGCGTGATATGCGTGAAGTGCGCATGACACGTATACTGCGTGGAGCTGAGTGTGGCACTGATCACAAATTGGTTCGGATCAAACTGTACATATATTTTCGTAAATCGATGTATTGCACTCCCGCCGTGAATCGGCGTAAACTTAACATTCTCTCCCTCGGTACTGTGGCGAAACGTAATGAGCTGGAGAAGGCGATGGCTGCACGCCTGTGTGGTGATGTGGACTGTATAGCCACAGTGGGCGACCTGTGGCACCACATTCGCGACCAGGTGACAACTGCTGCCGAGGAGACCATCGGGCGCGCGAACTGTAAACGGCCTGATTGGTTTGATGACAACAATGTGACGATTGACGCATTGGTGTCAGAGAAGAATGCAGCATTTGCTGCACATGTTGCAGACCCCAGTGACTTGGGGAAGAGTAGTCAGTTTCGCAAACTTCGACGGCGACTGACCCGAGTGCTCCGTCGCATTAAAAATGCACGGTGGACGGAGAAGGCGAAGCAGATTGAATGCTACGCCGAACGCCGTCAACACAAGGAATTCTTTGACTCCTTGAAGGCGGTGTGTGGACCGAGATTGGAGCCGCTGAGGACACTGATCGACGGTAGTTCAGGCGCTACCTGCACATAGACTACAGACATAATGCAGGTCTGGCGGAAACACTTTGACTGTCTCTTGGACAACCGTTCAGAGATCGACTGGTCTACATTGAATGGCCTGAAGCAGCACGATGTGAAGGCGGATCTGGCGGATACGCCGAGACTGGATGAGACGCAGAGAGCACTTGCTCAGCTGCGAAACGGCAAATGTGCCGGAGGTGACGGGATCCCACCTGAAGTATTGAAACACGGTGGACCCGCGTTGTTGACTGCGCTGCACCACTTGGTGCAACGCGTGTGGATTGAGGAGGAGGTGCTTGCTGAGCTGAAGGATGCCCTTGTGCTACCACTGTACAAGGGCAAAGGGAGCAAGCAATGTTGCACGAAGTATCGTGGCATCAACTTGCTGAGTTGTGTGGGCAACGTGATTTCCCGAATCCTGCTCAATCGCCTCGTGAGTCAGATTGTGGAACCAAACGTGGCGGAAGAGCAATGTGGATTCCGTTCGGGTCGCAGCACTATAGATATGGTGTTTGCGGCTCGTCAGTTGCAAGAGAAGTGCAGAGAACGACACCAGCCTTTGTACTCGCTTTTTGTTGATTTCACCAAGGCATTTGATACGGTGAACCGCGAGGCACTGTGGCTGGTGTTGGGTAAGTTTGGTTGCCCGCGTAAGTTTGTAAGTTTAATTGAATGTCTGCACAGTGGTATGCGAGCGAGGGTGCAGCTGAGTGGAGAGACCTGTGATGACTTTACAGTTGTCTCTGGTGTGAAGCAAGGCTGTGTGTTAGCTCCTGCCCTGTTTAATATCTATCTTCATGCAATGTTGTCTTGTGCTTTTGATGCGGCTTGTGCTTACGGTGTTCGTGTGGAGCACCGTATTGATGGTGGGTTGCTGAACATCCGTCGTTTCGGTGCGAGAACTCTAGTCTGTGCGACAACTATCCGTGTGTTGCTGTTTGCTGACAACTGTGCGTTGTTTTCACACAGCGCGGATGAGTTGCAGCACATGACTAGTGCTCTGGCTTCGACAGCGGCCAAATTCGGGCTCACCATCAACACAAGCAAAACTGTCTGTCTCTTTCAGCCTTCACCGGAGGTGCAATCTTCAATATTGCCGCGCATCAGCATTGGTGCCGAAGTACTGGAAACCACCTCCCGTTTCAGCTACCTTGGGAGTGTGATGTCGACTGATCAGCAGCTACACGTAGAGTTGCGTAATCGCCTGTCGAAGGCGGCAGCGGCATTCGGGAAGCTTGAGTACCGAGTATGGAACAACCATCAGCTTAGCACTGGCACGAAGCTGACGGTGTACAAATCCATGGTACTGTCCGTTCTTCTATACGGCAGTGAAACGTGGACAATGTACCGGCGGGATGTGCGATATCTCGAGCGATTCCATCAGCAGTGTCTGCGACGAATTTTGCGGATCGGCTGGGGCGCCAGAGTTGCAGACACGGAAGTGTTGCGCCGAAGTGGGATGTATGCAGTGGACGGCATACTTTTACTGCGACACCTGAGATAGCTCGGTCATGTGAGCCGTATGGATTCGACGCGAATACCGAAACAACGTTTATACGGTCAGCTGAGAATAGGGAAGCGGCATGCTGGGAAACCAAAGTTACGTTACCAGGACATGATTAAAGTGAGCCTCACACGTTCTAATCTTGATTGCAGATCATGGGAATCGAAGGCGGTTGATCGTGGTTCATGGCGCGATCTAATCACGAAGGCAGTTGCTGAGGTGCGGGAGAAAGCCCTCATGCATGCAGAGAAGAAGCGGCAGTTGCGGAAGCGGCAAGCACCGATGAATTGTACTCCATCGACATCGAGCGCATTGTGCTGTAGAACATGCGGTCGCGAGTGCTTTAGTCAGGCAGGCCTAGTGAGCCATGAGAGAGGTCACTCGGGACCACTGCCGAAGCGCCGACGGGTCCAGCAGTGAACGTACGCAGCACCGGCGTAGCGTTTGTAGGCACGCTGAATTCGATTTACTAACCGCATGGTTGCATGCTAAGTCTCTTTATTTCAGGTGGTGGGTTTTCAGTTCTCTCCTAATGCCTTTCTTTCTCATATAAATGTCTAGTGGGCCATGCCCTGTGCCATTTGGGGCCACTACAGAAGCGACGACGGGTCCTGCAGAGAATTACGGCGAGCAGGCGCAGCGTTTGTAGGCACGCTGAATTCGATTTACTAACCGCGTGCTTGCATGCTAAGTCTCTTTATTTCAGGTGGTGGGTTTTCAATTTTGCCTTAATGTTTTTCTTTCTCATATAAATATCTTCCTATACTCTATTCCATTAACTTGCACACATCGCTTCAGCCAATTGTATTCGATTTCCATAACATTTTTGTGTTCGTGGCATTCCGTGAACTATACTTCCTGACCTCGT